AAGGCCAACGTGTTGACGAGTATCACAGTGCCTACAAGGAAACCAGGCTGTTACCAGCCAAACCTCCATCTCTCTTCTGGCTGTGGGAGACAGGAGGGTACGATTCCTCCTTCCTCTTGTGGCCCGCGGCACACAGCCTTGTCAACTCACCCTATTCTTTCTCTTTCCTAAAAGATTTGAGAGCTGAAATTACATAGGAAACAGCTTCTACTGCCAGGTTCAGCTTGCTTTTAAGTTTCTAGCCCTCTTGGCTGCAGAAGAAAACAGTCCCTCAGAACAGACAAGGTACAAACAAAACATTCTGGTTTGTTCTGTAGAAATTTCAACATTTGTAAGTCACCATGGGTTGACACACACTTCATTTTGGCAGCAGTGAACACCAGCGGCTAGCCTCACCCGGGTGCTTGGACTATTCAGGAGCCAGACTGCAATTACAGCCTCTTTGGATCTGCTCGCTGGATGTCACACCTCCGGGGCCAGACACAGTCCCACCCTTTGTCTTACTGTTTAGAAGGGAAAAAAAAAATCAAACCCTGAAACTATGTTCTCCAATCCCCAAATGATACAACATTTTTATTAGCAATTGCATTTTGTTTCTTAAGAGTAAGTCATGTATACGTTTCAGGTAAAGTGCCAATGTTTACCAAGGCTGGAAGAGTTTGCGGGGTGGAGGCAGAAGGAAAGAAACATTTTTTACCCATTTAAATGGATTTAGTAAAGTTACAGCTATCCACATTTTAAAGCCCCTCTAAACTGCCTGTGAAACTATCTAATGGATGAACAAAGGCAAATTACTGCTTTCTTCTCATACCTGTAAAAAGGGATTAACAATATAGCAAAACATAAAGGAGGTCTATTAAGATCTCCAGGGGAAAAGTGTTACATGAGTATTGCTTTGAATGTAAATAAGAAAGTAAATGAAAACGAGATCTAGGAATAGAAAAGTAAAAAAAAAAGCTTGCAAACCCAGTGCAAGTAGAAAAAAGTTCTTGTCAAATCAAGACTGAAAAAGTTCAGTTAAGAATTATTGTGACCAGGAGCAGCTGGTGTTCCTAATATTATCTGCATTAGTACCAGGAGAGATTTGTCATATTTCTTTCCTATCATATGACCTCTTCAGTTCAGTCTCTGCTCCACAGCTGTCCTGGGTAGTGTCTAATGTAGGCTGCCTTTGTTTTAGGTATTTGGTACACAGCACAAAGTCAAAACAAGTTCCTGAGCTTTCAGACTAAACCAGCCTGGTGTAACATGGCCGCTGTTTGCCTATGAGCCGCTTAACTGGTTACGCAGGCTTTACAACAGCACATATAATAAAACTGTAAAGTTTAAAGGGTAAATATATTTCATTTTTATAAAATACATATTTTTATAAAATACATTATTTGCATATTATACAACAGAAAAAATGGGAACAGTTAAATGCAATTCTTTAAGATATTAACAGAAATATCAGTTTTGCAAACTTTTGGGCAGCTGCAGTTATGTATGTTTTTCTCAAAGTACAAAGCAAGTAACTGCTTATAACTGGAACGCTACAATAAAATAAGTTTTGTGTTGAATTTAGGTAAGCAGTAGCCTAGGTAGTTCTGGTTTTTGCTTTTCATCCTAAAGCTCCTACCATATATCTAGTATGAGACGGTCACATGAAATAGGCCAAAAAACATAGTTGCTGTCTGTAGACTTCATAACTCACATTAAAAAGAGGTTTTTAAAGCAGTGACCTATTTAAATGCTTTGTGTGTCTTGGATTTTAATCTTTTTCTATAGCAAAAAATTGCTGATTAAAGCTAAATTCACTTTTTCTTTCAACATCTTGCATTACTATTAGTGAAATTAGGTGACAATAAAATGGAGAGCAGCTGTAACTCGCTTTCATTTTTCATCCCATAAACACTGACTTCTCAGGTCCATAAGAGAGACCCTTTCAGCAGTAATCAATCAAGAATGATCACGTTCCAAAGCAGACTTTTATTGCCATTAAGGCTAAATTAAGGCATATTCCATACAGGAATTTGGGTAATAGCAGAGTCTCTGAGGAGAGACAGTAGAGCTTCTTCATCCAACTGACTGAATTAAAACTGAGACAGTGTTACTCTATAATACACTTACACCAGAATGGAAGTTTGGTCAGAGTTAAGGTCATGCAACCGTAGTTTGCACTTTCCTCAGCTGAACGGTATCTGCTGCAATGCATCCATTGATGGAAACGTTAATTCAAATAAAAGGTCTTTGTTACTTTCTCCCCTTGCTTTGTCCACACTGACACCAGTATCCAGAAAAGCTGTAGAAGCTGCCCACAGAAGCCGAGAGATACAGTATGGTGTGTATTATCACTCCAATCACACATTTTTGTTGTCTATAACGTACTTTTCTTCAAATCCATTTCTCAGCTCTGTAACCTAGTCTCATCCGCCTGGTCTTTTCTCTGCCTTCTATCCAGTGTTTCTAGTCACTACATCGCTTCTATCTCCTCACATGCATTTTACTGAAGTGAAGTTAACAACAGAGCCCAAAATCGTAATCGTGGAGCAGATTAGAAACTCAAAACGGCTCAAAGCCAGGGAGCTATAAAACGTAACAGTCATTTCATGAGCTGAAGTATTCAAGCAGAAGCAAGCTTCAAGTCCTGGAGTTTATGCTTCTTCCCCACAACTGTCATCCACACGTGGCTAATAAATTAACCACACGGACCGACCGAAATCAATACTGCATAGACCACTGCTTTAGAAGAGTAACAGTGACTGAGACTCTTGAGACAGAATTTGTGGTTTTGTCTGAAAAGCAACAGTGTGGTGTAATGACAAAACGGTGACAGCTTATTGTGGAACCAGGTGCAGAGCGAAGCGCTTTTCCAGGCGCGAGGGTGCTGGGAGAAGGCACAGTTTTGGGACTGACAAGTTTCTAACATCAGCGTTCTTGCATGGAGCCTTCAGCATCGGCACTGCTGTGGAAAGCTTCCAGTATCATGTTCAAGCGTGGAAAATTTTCAATACTGCCTTCCTTGTCGGAGGACAGACAGATGTTAAAGAGTACAACTGCCTGGTTTCTTATGCTGCCCTATGTTGCACAACATTGCATGACATAACCCTCTATGTATATATTTAATTGTACAAAAGCCTTCTTTTTCAGAGAAGAGAATCGAGAAAAAGACTATCTTTAAAAGAACAAAGGACCTAATTTCTTTCTTAAAATATTTGATTAAACAATTTGAAAGGCAGGTCTCATTTTTTCCCATAGCAGTAATTACGCTTTCTCACCCTACCTGCTTTTCTACAATCATTTTCTTCATATTAGGCCAGATATGAAAACAGATGCAACAGAGGAAGCCTCGCTGCAATTACATCCCATAATTTCCAAAGACTGTTCCAAAGTTCATTCCATGAACTTGCTATATTAATGTTAAAAGGAAGAGTAAAAATATGTTGATAATAAACTTATATAAAGCTTTTTTGTTGTTGTTGTTCAAGAACTGACAGAGAATGGATTTAGAAGGGTAAAGTGAGAAAAATTCTCTCCTTTCAACTGTTAAAAATCCTTTCTGGAGCCTGTAGCCATCCTGATAACTTTTCAGTGACAAACTCCCAGAGGTCATGACTTGCTATTTTAGAAGCACTGACATTGAGAAAACTGTTTCCCGAAGACTAGTGGACCACTTCATTGTTCTTTCCACTGGGTCGGCGAGGATTCAGAAGTAAAACTGATTTTGATGGAGTTAATCTACATTTTTATATGGCTGTAAAGAATGCAGAAGGTACCTATGAATTTGTTCTTGTTTGAATGGTGTGATATGGAAAGCCCTAGGTAAGTCTGGTGGACAAAGAATGGTTTTACACCAGAGATACTAATGGCTGTACCGGGATTCATTCAGTACACACTGAAGTATTGTAAGATTCTACCACCTGTTACAAAACTACTTTACTAACTAGAAGAGACTCTGCAACAAACTGTTATATACAGGTGGTTTACCACAAAGTGAGTAAGTAACCCATCGGGGCAGCTTAATTCCCCAAACAAAATAGTGCTTTCCAACTAATATATGAAGTAAAAGCATTTAAAAAGCCTGTTTAAACAACTCCTTGCAAAATGGCTGGGCCTTCACACAATTCAGTACCACAGAACCGAGAACATGGATTTGCTACCGTGCAGTAGTAGAATGGTTTATAGTAGTATATACTGGAACACAGAATATCCCCTGTGTAAACGTTTATTTTAGAAGATAAGCGTAAGCTTTGTTTGTAGGTTAAACACTACCAAAAGGAATAGCCACAAAAGTTAGCCAATAAAAGAATTCCAGTAATGGCCTTCCGACAGGCTTTAACATCTGCAAAGGGAATATGTATCTCCGCATCGCTCTGTCGATTTACCTCCCAATTACCCTCTCTTTAAAGGAGATTTTGACTAACTTTTTCCAGTTCCCATTATGTCTTTTAGGGCTGCAGTTTGAGCAAACGCATAAAGCTTAAAATGAAATAGGGATGAAGGAGGCATTTACTACCATATCAGTGAACTGTTCTGCATGAACACGCCCTCGTCGGAGGGGGGGGGAGGCGGGGGGGAAGAGCTGAAGGACCGGACCCGATAAGTGCTTCTTATTCAACGCTCCTTACCGCTGGGCAGGTCTGAAACGGGGGAGACTCTGGAGTTCAAGACATCGGTCAATCTCACACCTCAACTAGGCAATACCCTCAGATAGCTTAGGCCTTCTTGCTGCTTTTGAAGTTTTGCGTTTGGGGTGGGTTTTTTTATTTAACCATTGAGCTAGGTTAACATGATTAAAACTGTTAGGCATGGCACCTTCAGTAAGCAAAGTTAGAGTCTGCTTTTCAGCACTGCTATAACTACACCTGAAAAAGCAAGTGGGTTAGCAAGAATATTTATCTAAACTGATGTTAACTAGAAAATGGGATGAAAATAACCAGACAGAAGAAAACCAACATCGGCAAACCCCATATCATATACACTAGGGCCAAATCACAACAAAAGAGACTAAACGACCGTACGGAAGCTTCGGTTTTATCCCCAAACCGAAAGGGCCAGATTCGCCACCGGTGGCTCCCTCGAAAGCGCGAACTGCGAGCCACGGGCATTACATCCTCGACCGAGTTTTGCCTCCAGGCCCTCCCCTGCTGCGGCCTTCACTTCACAGGGAGAGCAACACGCGGAGAGAGGCGACGCTTCCCCTTCCCAGCCTCGGTGCTTTTAGCTGAGAGGGAAAACCCACCCCCCGCAGCCAGCCACCGGCTCATCTTCCGAGCCCCGCCAGCCCGGGAGGAGGAAGCAGACGTTCCCCCCGGGCACGCCGGGCCTTTCTCTCCCCGAGGGCC